CTCCTTTCTCCCTCATCTCTCTCTCATCTCTCTTTTCTCTCTCCTTTCTCTCTCATCTCTCTCTCATCTCTCTTTTCTCTCTCCTTTCTTTTTCTCTCTCTCTCATCTTTCTCTTTTCTCTCTCCTTTCTCCCTCATCTCTCTCTCATCTCTCTTTTCTCTCTCCTTTCTCTCTCATCTCTCTCTCATCTCTCTTTTCTCTCTCCTTTCTTTTTCTCTCTCTCTCATCTTTCTCTTTTCTCTCTCCTTTCTCTCTCATCTCTCTCTCATCTCTCTTTTCTCTCTCCTTTCTCTCTCATCTCTCTCTCATCTCTCTTTTCTCTCTCCTTTCTCTCTCATCTCTCTTTTCTCTCTCATCTCTCTTTTCTCTTTAATCTCTCTTCTTTCTCTCTCCTTTCTCTCTCATCTCTTTCTCTCTCTTTTCTTCTCATCTCTTTCTCTCTCATCTCTCTCTCTTTTCTCTCTCCTTTCTTTCTCTCTCCTTTCTCTCTCTCTCATCTCTCTCTCTCTCCCTCTGCCTAATCTATTTTCTACCTATCACATGTATCTTATCTACCTATTTCATAGAATCCTAGAGCCGGAAGGGACCTTGGCGGTCTTCTAGTCCAACTCCCTGCTCCGTTGCGAAGCATCTGAATTTTGATCACATGACCATGGGGACGCTGCAATGAACATACATGTGAAAAGTGGCCATAAGTCACTTTTTTCAGCACATCGTAGTGTTAAACGGTCACTAACTGAACTGTTGTAAGTTGAGGACCACCTGAACTATGGCCCAAAGGCAGGAACCCAATCCTACATTTCTGATGGACCTACCGCGCTGATGTCTTGCAAGATTAGGGATTGCTTCACTTCCACAACTTTTCCCAAGTGTCCAACGGTTAACTGGGTGGAAAAGAGAGAGAAAGAGGGAGGGAGGGAGGGAGGGAGAGAAAGAGTGACTTGTGGGGAAGAGAGACAATGAGGACAACCAAACATCGAGACTGGGATGGAGGTAGGACTCCAGAGCTAGGAAACCTAGCTTTGGTGGAACATCTGGATGTCTGGAGAAGACTCTTTCCCTTTGGTGGGAGAAGAAGATTCCCTTCCCAAGGTCAACCAAGGTTCTTGGGATCTATGGGAAGTGGTCTCTGCATTCATATGAGAAGGTCCATCCATCATCAACAAAAAATAGTCTGCAGAACGAAGTGCGTAAGATCAGTGAAGGCCAGAACTGATGTGGGATTTGGATGGACCATTCTCTTGCCTGTCTCGAGATCCCACGAGATCTAAGCTGCTCAGAATTGCTAGAGGAGATCATGGACAACAAACCACAATCCCCTCTACAGGAGAATATTTGCAGTTTGGGGTTGACCTGGGGAGTCCTTGGTGCTCTCTGAGCTTGCTTTCTTGCAGATGTTTCATGACCCAACTAGGGAACATCATCAGTTGTTAGCGACGATGTTACCTACTTTGGGCCATGAAACATCTTCAAAAAAGCTTGGAGACCACGAAGGACCCCTCACAAACCACAATAAATGCGAATCGAGAAACAAATGCCGGTCTTCTCGCATTTTAATTTCATGGGCTCTCCAGCTGGAGCACCTCAACGTTGAGGTGCGTCAAGCAAAAAAGGCCACCTACATCATCATGCCAGATGTTCTTCCCGCCTTCTCAATCCTGAGAGTTAAGTCACCGAGATTTCACAAGACTTAATTAACTTTTGATTGATCCCTGATGATGGGATTCAGAATAATCCGTTCCTTTGTTTCCAACTTATTTCAAGTGTGCTCCGGTTCAGGAAAACGTTGGAGACAAACACAACATGCCTCCTTCACACCTTTGTCATGACATCACAAGACATCTATAATTTTTTGCACATCTTGGAATGAACTCCCCGCGGAGATCCGGACCCTCACCTCTCTCCTGGCCTTCCGGAAAGCCGTCAAAACCTGGCTGTGCCGGCAGGCCTGGAGTTGATGAGTTCCCTTCCCCTCTCGACTTGTATGGCTGTGTGACTCTTGTGTATTTTAATTACGTGTATTGTGTTTGTATCCCCTTTTTCCCCCTTTTGAGTTGTTCG